ACCTCTGTGTGGAAACTGAGTCACAGAAAAATTGAACCTCAAATGTATTAGGCTGTGCCTCAAGTTGAGTACTTTATGTTTTAAGTGCCTGGTTGAAACAGACAGTTCTAAGGCTCAGAGTGCTCCCAGTAAAGTTGTTGGAGTCACAGATGCTCTTCATCCATAAAAACTCACACCAAGTGTCCGAGGCTGGCATCCAAAAGGAGACTCACCACCAGTGAATGTTCTTAGAAAATGGAAACCACGCTGTCTGTCCTGGCTATGCTGTTACACATCTATAACGAGGTGGCAATAGTTTTCATAGGATGTAAGAGATATTACTTCCTTGGTCTCCTTTGATCCACATCTTCCTATGTCCTACAGATGTCCCCTACATAGGATGTAAGAGATGTTACTTCCTTGGTCTCCTTTGATCCACATCTTCCCATGTCCTACAGATGTCCTCTAGACTTGGCAGGCCAGCCTTGTTAGGACAGCGAATATGTGGTTTCCTTATATCTGGTAATAGCTCTTTTGGCAGAGCTCGTTGATACTGAAAATGTTTTTTGTAGACTTGCTGATTACATTAGCGCACGATGAACACATCTCAGCAGCAAGACTTTAAGATGTAATGGCGTTTTTCTCTCTTTTAGTGGTTTTACATTTGCATCAATTACAGTTACCATCCACCTCAAACCTCAATCTGAGTGCTCAGGAAACGTTTGTACATCCATAAAAACACAGAAGATAAGAACATCTTCCCCAGAACTGTTTATCTAAATTTGTCTGTAAGCAGAAACTGAACGGGCAAGTTAGGTGTCCTTTTAATCCTTCAGGACGTGGAACACTCTCCAGTCCCCCTGAAATCAGCAGAAGTTGAGGACATTCAAAGCACCAGGGTTATTCTTCTTACCTCACCCTGTGGCATGTCACCTTAGCCAATGTTTCTAGCTGCCTACAACAGCCGGTCTCTGCTGGGTCTGTGGTTGTTGCTGCTTGATTGAAAGAGCTGCGGGTCTCTCTATGAAATGAAATGGAAGTCCTCGGAGGGCAGCTGCAATTTTGGAAAAGGACTGAAGAGAGGGACTGAGCAGGGGGTCCTTTCTGATTCCAGAAAAGCTAAAATTTTTCAGTGAGAGTTAGGATTTTCTTTGAAAATAATAAATGGATTACACTGCACATCTAAAACCACTACGAATAAACGCAACTAGAGCCTAATCATTTTGCAGGTTTCTTGATGGGTGATTCTATTCTCCTAAAGTTAAGTCCCATCAAATGTAAAAGCCATCAAGAAAGGTTGTTTTCAGTGAGGAATGATAGCTAAGAACAGTTACCTAAATTCATTGTTAATTCCTTTAATCATAAGATCTGGTACCTCTTCCCCAGATATGTCAGGGTTAATAGTTTCTTCAAGTAATAGATCCCTCCCTGAGTTATTGGATTCCTAGTCTTCTGAGTCCAGCATCTTAGTTATTACTGAGTTTTATTCTTACTTTCCATCAATACAAATTTTTCTTTGAAAATGGTGTCTGTGAGGTAAAATGTGACACAGAGAGGCAGTGAGTGTAAAGTGGGTTGTAGTAATGCACTTTGCCCCGGGTTGAAAGGAAGGACCAGTGGAGGCTGCGTGGACACCAATGCAAAGCTTCTGAATGGTGACATATCTCTGGTGCAAAAGTCTCTGGTGGAGCCTTGAAAGCTCACACCGAGCAGATGGGCTAGACTTATCATGAAGATGCATTAGCATGTTCTCAAACACTTCTTTGAATTGCTTGGGATTTTATGCTTATTAAATGCTATCTTATCTGCTCCCTTTCGGTGGACTTGAGTCCCCTCTGGACTAACTGATCATCTACACAAATCTCTGGAAATGCAAGAAGTGAACCAAATTCAGAGATCATTTAGGTGCCAGCAGCACACTTAAAAATATGTAGCTCTGTTCAGCCTCACAGTTTTGATGCATTTAAGTCTGTTCTGATTTACGCTGGTATAAAAGAATCATCCTTTGTTTGCTGACGTACATATAGATATAACAAGAAACACAGATGTTGTAACTTGAATTTTCTAATTGGATATGGATGTCTGCTGGTTCTTAAATGGATAATAAATATAGCTTAAATGATCTGTTTGATCACAATTCAGAACTGCCCTAAGAATATAACCTAAAATACAGCTGGGGTAGATACATGTGTCAAATAAAAACAGGATGCTCGCAAGAGGGCTGATCTGCTGCTGATATAGATTTTCAGCAGAAGATATGAATAAACTTTCTCCTCAAAGGCTGCTGAAAACAATTCTACTTTGTATAAAGGCATTGCCAAGAGCCTTATAGAAAGCAGACTGAGGCTCATGGGAAATATGCCCTGTTTCTTTTTGCCTTTGCTCCTAATTTTATTCTAACTGCTGGCCAAGATACTGTTAAAATAATGAAAAAGAAGAAAAAGCAACCATTCAAGCTCTTGAGCCATTTGCCATGAGATAGAGGTAATCCTGAGACTCACAGGAGTATTAAAATTATAACAATAAAGTAATAGCACTGCTGAGGATCATTTTAGAAATAAGCAATCAGATAGGAGGTTAATACAACACAAACCTCCAGTGCTCTTGTCTTGCCACTCTGCCTCCCTGTAAATGGATCAGACAGTTCATCCAGTTGAATGATTAAAAGAGTTTTAACGGCAAGGCGGAGCAATCCCCTTCCAGAAACGAGGAGGTGAGATACATACTTTTAGTCTGGGGAAACGTGATGAAAAAATACAGGTTCACTGTAAAGCTGAGATTTCTGTCTGCTTTTCTTCTGAACTGATCTTTGGTAATTTTTCTTGTTTACAGCCTCTGGCCTCTCCTCTTCTCCATCTACCCCAACACAAGTGACCAAGCAGCCCACGTTTCCTCTTGAATCCTATAAGCATGAGCCCGAGAGACTAGAAACACGGATTCACTGTTCTTCACCTCCGGACACAGGGCAGAGATTTTCTCTGCCTCCATCTCAAAGTGCAGCCAAGCCTCCTATCATGACACCAGCTCCCTGTGCTACCTCAAAACCAGTAAGTAAAGCATGTACAGGGTTGTGTGTAACTGTTTCTTGTATTACAACTGGTGGGCTGGAGCGTGTGTGTCCATACCGTGGAACAGAATGAGAACAATTTCATGTGCCTTTTACTTCAGACTTGTCTCAGATTCTCCCAATATCAAGCTGACAAGGCACTAGGAATCCAAAGGCAGTATCTCCCCTTCTGATTTACGCAAATAGCAACTAATTTTTGCACCATTCTCAAACCAGTTTTGCAGTGGCTACAAATCCCAGCATACGTTGCTGAGATGCCACTTTAGAGAAGGATGCAATTTCAATTTTTTTAACTCCTTTAGCTCCCTTAGGAAAAGCTGATGAGAGAGCTAGCAGCCAAGGAGAGCATATCAAAAAGAAATTCACAGTATGAACTGCAGGGGTTTTGAGTTCCTGCTGCCTCTGGAGTCTGAGATGACTGGGACAGCTGGTGACTAATGGCAGTAGTTGTTCTGATGCCTCCTGCCCCAGCTCAGAAGGGCAGTACCACCAGGGTGTTTATCCACCCCCCACATAGCACAGGTCTCTTCATGAGAGTGGTTTCTTCAGCTCCTGGGAACGCATGAACTCAGCGGTTCCTGAGAATACATGAATTCCAGCCTCTGATATTCTCCACTGCAACATCCACACTGTGTGCCGTTGTGCCTCCTCCCCTCTCCCTTGGCCAGCCTGAGCCTCAGAGGCGTCACTGCTCTTCTCTTTTTGTGCTTCTCTGCCTTTTTGCTCCTTCTTTATTTTCATGGTAATTCCTTTGCAATAACTTTGTCTTTCTGTTCATCATTCTCCTGTGTCACAGAACTAGCAGATTGTGATCTGTCACCAGTTAACTATCCTGCATCTCTTATCTGTCTTTCCCAGCTTTTCTTCTTCTTCTTTTTTTTCCCCCTTAGAATATAAAATCTTTGATATTTGCTGTATCTAGAAATCTGCAACTGTAAAAGACGCAAAGGTTCATGAGGTCTGCTTCCCTGTTGAACGACTACAAGTTCTGTTTCATTCCAGTTCTTAGTGATTTATTTAAAAGCAGGAAGTTTCCTCCCACTTGCCCATGGGAAAGCTGTTCTAAGATCTGAATACGCTAACACAGCAGTCCCAAACCTTTTTGCTTTTGTGTTAGGTACCTCCACAGTAGCAGCAGCAGTTGTTATGCTGTAAGTGTTTAGGTACTGGATTGGTATTCACATACTACTTTCAAGGCGTTCACACACATCCAGTACAACACATGCCCTGTTTTGGGGACCCCTTCTGTAATGGTTAGGAAGTCTCTGATTTTCAGCCTAATTTTTTTCATGGACAGGTTATGACCATTTGCTCTTATAATTAATAGCCATTTTCGTTTATTGTTTGTTACATCCTGTTGTACCTATAGCCAATCTTTGTTTTGGTTGATTAAGCAAGTCAAACTCTCCCTACAAAATACAGACTTTCTGTTCTGCTGCTATGCAAAAGTAAATAATTAGAGTCTTAAATAAAATAAATCATACATTTATAGTTAGGGAACTCCAGCAGTAACTTTTCTCCAGCCAACTCACTGCCTTTCTGTGTAAGTAGTAGTCTCAGGATACACGAATTATGAAACTCAAAGGCTTGTAGGACACAAAAATATTTTTGGTAGGTTTCAGTCAATCTGTCATATTATTTGCATAAGAATGTGTTTATTTGTGTTATGCAGCTACAGAGGAGTACTTTGTACCTGTTAGAATAGAAATGGGGAGACAACATAATCTTAGCACATTCCACTGACTGAAAGACTGAAAAGTTTGTTTTGCTTTTAATTATTTTTTGATTTGGACAATATGAAGTTGAGTAGGAGATGCCAGAATAAAGAAACAAAATCACCTGCAAGTATTTATCAACTGTTGTGGTTGTATATATGTACAAGAGAGAGTCTGGATGGAAACTCAATATGTTGGACTCAATTATCTCCTGTTCAGAAGATACAGAAATACATATAAAATATACAGGATGTATAGTGCCTGATTATCTTTGTTTTGTACCCTCTGTACTCATTGATATCTGAGAACAGTGCAGGGCTGCCAGTGAATCATTAAGTTTTTGGTTTACTTGAGAACAAATGTCAGCAGCTACAGATACGTGAGGACCAAAGCCCTGGATGTTTCATTTTCAACAGAAACCAGAGAGAGAGATTTGCCATGCTCCTCTAGTCGGAGGAACTGTTAGAGGAGAGAAAGGCTAAGTTGCAGCAGAAGGGCATGGATCTGAAGCTGATGGTTGTTCACTCAGGACTGTTGTATCTTTCGATCCCTGCAAGTTATTTACCGAGCATTCCTTTACTAATGTGGCAGCAGCAGACCAACATTCTTGATTTGAGCATTGTATTTCAAACATTTCATTCATTCTGAGCTGTGTGTTAATAAATACACGTTTTCACAATGCACATGCCATAAACAAATCTGTAAAGGGCTAACTCAATTTCTTGTTTACTTAGATCATCATTTCTTGGCATAACAATTCCAATTATCTTAAAAACACACTATAAATTATATGATAAATGCTTTCATAGTGGCCATGCTGTTAGATGATCTGTTTAATGACAGCAAAGCTTCTATGTTGACATCTGAAATAAGAAGTTGACTCTTATCTGCGGGGCTCTGTCAACTTAAATCTCATTTACTTATTACATTGTTTAACTAGTGATGATAATGTGTGAGATCCCAGAACTATTATAAATGATTTATGATTGCTATATATATTGCAGTAGCAAAGAGGAACCCTTGGACCCAGAGCAGGAAATATTACTTTAAAAAAACACAGAACAGATAACTATAAGAAGGTGTAGTATCAGGACTTCGAACTAATCTTAACCCATTTTTAAGATGAACTACATTTGAAGCTGATCATGTACTTATTTTTTCTATGTCTGAGACTGTGGCTCAGAATGGTTAAATCAGTTCAGTAAGAGAGATGTCATGGAGGAAAGGATAAAAATATTTATTTCCCAGCAGATGTAATCAAAACGTTTCATGTTTTAGTAGCGCTTAGAACAGTGTATATTTTAATGTGATTTTTAAGCCTTAGATTCTGGCAAGGGGAATAAAAAGTGGGAGACAGCTCCTGACAGAGGGGGAACTTCCTTCAGCAAGTATCATCTCAACACAGTATACACACCTAAGCAATTAACTTCATAGAATCATAGAATAATAGAATGGTTTAGGTTGGAAGGGACCTTGAAGATTATCGAGTTCCAACCCCGCTGCCCTGGGCAGGGACACCTCCCACCAGACCAGGTTGCCCAAGGCCATGTCCCAGCCTGGCCTTGAACACCTCCAGGGATGGGGCCTCAACAACTTCTCTGGGCAACCTGTTCCAGTGCCTCACCACCCTTAAAAGTGAAAAACTTCTTCCTAATGTTTAATCTAAACCTGCCCTCTTCCAGTTTATATCCATTCCCCCTGGTCCTGTCACTACATGTCCTAGTAAAAAGTCCCTCCCCAGCTCTCCTGTAGGACCCCTTTAGGTACTGAAAGGCCGCAATGAGATCTCCGTGGAGTCTTCTCTTCTCCAGGCTGAACAGCCCCAGTGCTCTCAGCCTCTCCTCACAGGAGAGGTGCTCCAGCCCTCAGATCATCCTCGTGGCTCTCCTCTGGACACGCTCCAGCAGGTCCATGTCCTTCTTGTGTTGGGGACTCCAGAGCTGGATGCAGTACTCCAGGTGGGGTCTCATGAGAGTAGAGTAGAGGGGCAGAATCACCTCCCTTGACCTGCTGACCTCATGCTAAATAGATGTCTGTGATAATCACTAAGGTCTGGATTTATCCCACCTAACTTTAGAAACCTATCTGAGCTGCTTAAGTTGGGAGTATAGTAGCTCTCATTGTCTCTGTATCCCACAGAGTGGCATTTGCAGGGGATGAACGAGACGGTCAGTCTTTTGCACTGACTATCATGGGAGCGACTGCAGGTGTTGCATTTCTAACTGAGGCACTTCTTTTAGGTGCCCAAAGCGAGATGTGATGAGGCTGTGACACACCGTTGCAGCAGCTCCTACAGGCTTTCCTCGGGGTGTGTAGGTGTTCCTAGTCGTTGAGTTAGAAGGTTATAATATGCCGATAAGAGATCAAAGCTATACCAAAAGATTACTGTGCACTGCATTAAATGGGGAAGGTGCAATCCGATTTTTCACAGTGCAGTTCATGACTCTGTACTTTGGCTTTGTGTTGTTTGGACTGTGTAACCTTCAGGCAGAAAGTGGTAAATGATAACTCTTCTCTAATGTGACATTACTAACCATGAAAGGAATGTAGAGAGGTTGCAAATTCAATAACGAACATGTTTGCCCTGTTTCCGCTTTGCCCGTATTTCAAAGTAGAATGTAGTATGTTGAGCTTAATGTGGTTGTATCCTTTTCATTTCATCCTTTCTTCTTCCACTGATGCATAAGACACTGCGAAAATAGCAGTATTGCCTGTCTCCTGCAAACACAAGCATTTTTGTGGTACGCTGTTTCCTGGCCTTTATGGGTTTCCCCTTTCCCAGCATGAGAGAAGCCCAGGCCAGAGAAAGAAGATGCTCACTCCAAATAAGGAGTTGCCTTTGAGTTCTCCTCTGGTGAAAAACAGGGTTGGGGCTTCCTCTGCTCAGTGACAGAGGCAGAACGTGCTTACAAATGGGCCTTTCCATATGATTGTGTAGTTGCCCACTGTTCTCCAAATAACTTCTGAGCCAAGTAGTTTCCCAGAACGTTCTTAAAAAGAGGGCATCTCAGCCAGAAGGTAGTCTGAGACTTACTCTAAGCTTGTGTGAGCAAGTCCTGTAAAAACTGCAGACATAGCACACAGGAGTGACGGAAAGAGTCCGGTCTGCATCGATTTTACACAGTCCTTGCTGCTCCAGCATATGGAAGAAGAGAGACGTAACATACAGCTGGGACTCTTCTTCCAATCCTAGATACAGAGAAACAAGATTGGTTTTGCAGCTATGTGCTTGTTAAACAGTAGCACTTCCCTGCAAGGCTATTCATGCTTTTTCTTAGCCAAAATGTAGTAAACTCAAACCCTGGGCTGTTAACTTGTTCAGCGTGAAAGGCTGT